TCAACATCCTTTTCCTGGTCCATTTGGATTTTCTATGGCAATGTACCTCATCCATCCGGTCTGAGAGATCTTTGAGGATTCTTCCAAATCTCTTTGCTTTTTAACACCCTGAACAGTTTCAGATGACTACCAGACATGATCATCTTACTCTAACTCTAACCCTTAACAATAATATATATATTTAAAAACCCTGACCCTAACCTGGAAACCCCATTTTGCACATCTCACCTGTTTTTTTGCCAGTTGCCAATCCCTGAGACCACATATCTTTTTCCATGGCAGCTGAGTTTGCTCAGGAATTTTTTGGTAAAGTACTTGTCAAAAGTTTAGAGCAATGTTTCTTAACCTTGGCAAGTTTAAGGTGTGTGGACTTCAACTCCCAGAATTCTCCAGCCAGCATGCTGGGGAATTCTGGGAGTTGAAGTCCATACATCTTAAACTTGTCAAGATTGAGAAATACTGGTTTAGAGAATCCATGTATATAGTAATGCCTGGGTTTATATAATATACATTGAGTCCCTTTGTCTATGTGCTTGTTGATAACATCAACAAATCCAAAACATTTATAAGATAAGATTTACCTTTGTGGAATCCCTGCTGGCTTTTCAACAAGCTTCATTCTTCTATGAGTTTGCCTGCTTTTCCCTTTAATAATACAACCATTTCTAACTGTTCTATCATTTCCACTGTTGCCCCTGGCTATTTTCTAGTTCTTTGAAACAGATACTAATGTGAAAGGGAAATTGCATATTTCTGTGGGAAGACCAACAATTTCATATTTATGTTCATTAAGTAACCTTGGATGGATACCATCTGCACATGGGGATTGATTTATTTTTAGTTGGTCAGATTGGCTTAAAACTTCATGTCCCATTACCTCTACTTGTTTCATTTCTTTCAATCTTTCTCCTGAAAAAAGTCATCTTGAATACAGACATCTGTACTACATCCTCAACAGTAAAGACAGAAACAAATAACTTGTTTTATGTCATCTGGAAATTTGATAATCGCCCCTTCAGTCCCTTCATCTAGGTCAGTGTTTTTCAAATTTGGCAATTTTAAGATATGTGGACTTTAATTCCCAGAATTCCCCAGCCAGCATGGAGAGTTGAAGTCCACACATCTTAAAGGTGCCAAGTTTGGAAAACGCTGATCTAGGTCCTTAATAAAAATGTTGAGCAACACAGGATCCAGGGTAGAGTCCAATGACATTCCACTTAATATTACTCTCCAAGCTGATAGGGAGCCATGTATGAGCACTCTCTGGGTGTGGTCATTCAGCCAGTTATGAGTCCATTTAACAGTTGTATCTTCTAGCCCATCTTTTACCATGTTATTAATAAGGATATCATAAGAGACTCTGTCAAATGCTTTGCTGAGGGCAAGGTATACTGTGCCCATGATATTCCTCCAGTCTATTAAGCTAGTGACTCTATTAAATAGGAAGTAGGTTAGTCCAGCATGACTTGTTTGTGATTAATCCATTCTGCTTGTAGCTAATTGTTGCATTCCTAAGTGCTCATAAATAGGTTGTTAAAAATCTACTCAGTCAAGCTGATAGGTTTGAAATTCCTTGGGTCCACCTTTCCTTTTTTGAAGATAGGGACAACTTTTGTTCTCCTCCAGTTTTTGGGGACCTCACCAGTTTTCCAGGAAAAATGGCAGGAGTTTTGCAATAATCTCATCTACATCCTTCAGTGTCCTAGTAATTCATCCTGGAGAATTGAATTCATTTAAAATTGCTAAATGTTCTTTTATCCTCTCCTTGTTTAGACTTAGCTGCAACTCCCTCCTTCCACCAGTGGCATGACAGGGGTCACTAGGGCTTCATTTCCCTTCTGAGAGAAGACACACATAAGATAGAAACTGAGACATTTTTACTTTTCATCATCTCCTGTATCCTTCCTGTATTGATGCTATGTCCCTGGAGCTGTGATGCGTCATTAACTGGGGCTCACTTGTATTTGGGGAGCTCTCTCTGCCAGTCAGTGCTCACCATCTTTCCCTCATGCTGCTCATGGGGGGGTTCAAAGAACATCATTCAATGAGTGCCCCACTTCCTGAATGACTATTGCTTACGGAATAATAAACCACCCTTTACCCTCGCTCCATTCAAAAAGGAAAAAGAAATAAATGACTATCCTTCCCATCCATATTTTTTCAGTACGGGTACTTGTGTTTGCTGCTTTGCAAAAAATATCTGATAGGAAGCTCTGCAAGGGAAGGTCAATTGTTAAAAAAAAAAAAGCAAAAGCATTGAAATAGTCCACAGGCTTCCCAGCTGCCTTGCTGCTATTGTTATATTTAAACATCTGTGAAGGTGAAATGCAAGTACATTAACAATTTTGCTACTGGGTGCTTTTTCCAATAGCTGTGATCATAATTGCATATTACAACTGTAATTGGACGTGGGGGGGGGAGATAAGTTCTCAACAATGCGTAGAGGAAGAAACAAACTTCAAGAACATGATGCTGCACTACTCCTGGGAGAGAAGGAATCTTTGTCTTTAGCTCATAGCCAGGAAGGGAGATGAGGCAAAAGTTTGTGCCAATGGGGAGATGAACTGCTCCCCAAAATCTGCAGAACTGCTGTAATTCAAAGAAAAGCACCAGCTTTGCAGCACTTTCAAATAAATCAGAGCAGAGTCCAAACCAAAGCTGGATTCCTGGTGAAGTGAGGTTAATCAAGGATGGAGCCAATTTCCACATGGCACAAAACAGCAGTGCAGAAGTGCTGTGTTCTTCAGCCTCAGAAGATGTTGAAGTGAAGGACAGCACGCTCATTGATTTGGGATTTTGCATAATTGCCACTGCAGTTGTTTTTACTTTGCATAATTCATTCTATTTTTTTATAGTTTTCGATGTGCAGAAATCACACCCCTAAGATACTGAAGGCCTTATTGATCATCACTGTGGCTGCTGAGGTGTCCCAAAGACTTTTGAATGTATCTTCACAGTAGAAACTAGATCCCCCAAATAGTGAAACCTGATTTCTATGCCCAACCACATTCTGTGTCTTTCCTGTGCTCAGCAGAAACATGACATGTACACAGTTCTAAGAAATGCTCCTTATCGCTGTCAGTTTACATTCAATATTTTCACTGCTTCTCTTCTGTTTTTTTAAATCCAACAGTACGGAAACAGGAAATCATTAAGGTGACAGAGCAGCTGATTGAAGCAATAAGTAATGGGGACTTTGAGTCCTACACGTGAGTGTACTTGCTGTGTGTTTTGGTTTGTGTAGAGGGAATAAGCATATTACTCAGCTTGTCCACTGTATAGGAGGGGAGTTAGTAAGTAAATCCTCTAAATGCCTTATCTATGGAAAACAGCATAGTGATGCTGTCCTGAAGCTTGCTCTGAAAGCAAACACATTAGTGACTTCCTTTCTAAACACAGCTAGAAATGGATCTCAGGAAGTTTTTTTTTTTCCCCCCTATTTCTCTGTCCATTGTAAAATACTACGTTATTATTATCTTCCATCATAATTACAAACAAACAAAAAAAGATTTTTTTGGACCAGTGATAAATCTCAGCTGTTATTGCTGACTAAACTGTGATTCCTGGCTGAGAGAATAAACTGCATGGATGTATTGATGAAGAATAATGGATAGAGGCCTTGTTTTTCTTTTGTCCCTGAGAATGAACTTTAAAAAAACAGGTATTCAGAAACCACTAGCTCTGTAAAAGGTTAAGTAGCATGGTGATACATTTCTTCAAACACATCATTGTTACATTCCTGCAAACATCTTGAAAGAGATATGGAATTAATGAAACAAAAGTGTGATTCAGATAAATCTAAATATCTCATTCTTGCAATGTTGTGGTGGATTCGGACAATATTGCCCTTCATTTGTAATCCCACATTTTATTCACTATTAAAAAGAAAAGACAGAACAGCTAAATAATGGTAGCAAAACATCCATAAATTACATGGGTATCTCCTTGATAGGTAATTATGTCTTAAGTGAGTAGTTTCCATACATTTTTTAAAAAAAATTAGAACATTTTATTTGCAAATTATAGTTTGCTTTCTCCCTTTACAAGTATTGTTGCTTTATAGATTTATTTTCTTTTAACAGTTGGAACTTCTCAAGTATGGTTCTATGAAGTCTGCCAGACAATTAACCACACCATCTCTAAGAATAATCCGTACAGTACAAGCAATATAAAATAATACCATTATTACATTGTTTATATAAATCATACACCAATATCAAAATAGTAGCAAAGAATTCCTGTCTAGAAGATTTATAAAACACAGTAACTTGTGGACCAAGGAGATGTACCACTTGAAAATTGAAACCTTCCTTTTAAATTGTACCAGAAGCCAACCCGCAGCCAGAGTAGTTCACTTCACACGGATGACATGGGCTTCTTGTAGCTCATTGTTGCTCCTGAGAACACTGGCAGTTTTTAAATTCAGCTTTCCAAATAACCTCCAAAAACATCCCTAAGCATATTATGACAAAAAATGTCACAATATTCCAGCATGGGAGTTATCAAGATGTGTATTAATCCTTGTTCTAGCAAGGATTGCCATCTCTCTCAAAATTAGTACCTGATCCTTCAGTGGGACATACAGGTCAAACCAACCTCTTACAGCAAAAAAACCCCTCTCTCCTTTGAATTCAGCTTCAGCTTGCTTATGCGTACCATTTTCATAACTGACCTTGTCCAATCTGTTATGCTTGGGGACAGTGAAAGACAGTCTTTTTGGAGATATTAGCCCACATCCATTCACACTCATGCAATTACTCTCACAGCCTTTTCTCATCCTTCTTCACTGATTGAACTAGAAGATGGGTGGGTATAGTTTTATACTCTCACTTTATATTCATCAGCATGAAGAAAAGCTACTAAATAAATTAGAGTAGTGAGATAATTATTTTTCTTGATCCTCTACCTTTTTGTGGACATCTCTAGAAAAATGTGTGATCCTGGAATGACTGCATTTGAACCAGAAGCTCTAGGGAACCTGGTGGAAGGACTGGATTTCCATCGATTCTACTTCGAAAACTGTAAGCATCCTCTGGCTTTTCAAAAAGTTGCTGGACTTAGATTTAACTCTGTGTGTGTGTGTGTGTGTGTGTGTGTGCGTGTAATCCCTGAGCAGGTTTTTTTTCTCCTTTATTTCCTTCCATGTTGTTATGTCTTCTTATTTCCTCTCCATTCAGTTTGCTCCCCTTTTGCTCCTTTTACTTTTCCAGTGGAGCTACCTCTTCCCCCCACCCAATCTCCCACCGATTTTTTCTTCTTTTTGCTATTTCTGCTAGAAGGAAGGATGAAAGGGGGAGGCCATAGTTATGTGTTTCTGTGTGGAAGAGTGTTTTGCGTGTGAGAGAGAATGGTTGATGTTTGCAGATGGGAAGATCAATCAATTATATGTCAGGCACCATTTTTAATTATTTATTTATTTGCAATATTTATATACCATCAACTACATACAGGCAATTTGTTTTAATTTGTAGTCTCCTCCTCCTCCTCCTCCTCCTCAGCCACTTTAAAAGTAGCTTCTAGTAGATATATATATACATATTCATACACCTACATATGGTGTGTTACATACATACAATTTGGGAGAGAGGAAAATTTCAAGGAATAGTTTGAGGTGGAATTAGTAACTCTTAAATTGTCAAAGCAGAGAAGCTGGCATATGTATTCTAACTGCTCTTCCTTTTATGAAGTCAAGAGTTGAGTCCTGAGTTGATGCTGTACATATTTCACTATTACTTTTGTAGATTTCTCTGGTTGTTTGTAAAAAATCCAAGAGGTTGCTATGATGGAAGGCTGACAATAAGGAAGGCTAAACAAAAGTATTTAAATTCCAGCCTGAGTTGAATGAACCAATGATCTGATTCAATATCAGCCAACTTTTTATATTCATACAGGTTATTCTTAATGATTCCCAAAGTTTGAGACAAAATCATATGAGTTTTAGTATGGCGTGTATGTCTTTAGATTTTGAATATGAGGTGAAAAGTTTGCACAGTTCTTAAATTAAGCTGCTTAGATTCAAGTTTTGATTGGGGCAACAAAAAGCTTTTTTAGTCAATCAATAACAGAAATACACCTTTGAAAGAAAGATCACATTCTGTCTTAAATGTGGCTGGAGCACACACTGAATCATCCTAGCAAAATGCATCACACACCTGTTTTTTCCAGTTGATTCAGTGATTTCCTCATGAATGAGGTAATGATCTCCTAGGTACTTTGACAAGGTACCGGAAGCTGCCTTGATTTCATTGACTTTTTTTCCCCCCGTCTGCAGTGTGGTCCAGGAACAGCAAGCCAGTGCACACAACCATTCTGAACCCACATATCCATTTAATGGGAGATGAGTCTGCCTGCATTGCTTATATTCGCATCACACAGTATGTGGATACGAGTGGGATCCCTCGCACTGCCCAGTCGGAGGAGACTCGAATCTGGCACCGCCGGGATGGCAAATGGCAAATTGTTCACTTCCACAGATCTGGAGCACCTTCGGTTTTACCACAGTAAGTCAGTCCCAAGCCATGGCGATTCCTATCAGCTCTTCTTGTGGCATAGGCAGAGCAGTACACCAGGTGTGTCACTGTAAAATATGGATTCAAAAATTCATCCCAAAGAAGATAAGAGAACAGCAGTTAAAGCCATTGTTCATGCATCCCATATACGTTTGGTTTAAAATGCCTGAGGGTAAACAGGACAACGTTTTCTTTGAAAAACTTTCACTATAAAAGCAGAGATTATTCACCGAACCTTTAAACAAGGGTGCACTTATATATTCGAAGGCATTAATTCCCGAGGTAGTTCAAGGAGCTGTAATGTAGTGCCCCACCTAAGACAAATGGGCAGTATTGTTTCATTAGCCGCACCCAGCATCTGAAACTTAGAGCTCTAAGGAGTGGGACAATGAAGCTAAACCAACATTAAGGAATTACTGGGCTTACACAAGAACGAAGTATATTTGAATGCACCTTAAATGGATCCAAGACAGCATAAAGTTTCCTCTGTTTGTATCTGTTTCCCCTGTTTGTATCCTTCTCAGAGACATGGGTAATTTTTATAAATTACATTAATGTGTTTGAATAAATTTGCATTCATAAAATGAATAAATGGTCCTTTTCCTCAGTATTTTTTAAAGAAACTGCCATTCTTTCTACTCCCTTTATCATATCCATTGTAGGATGCTAATAGGCTTATAATAGTATATAATGGGCTTATATACTATTTTGTGCTATGGGGAGTTGACATTTTACAGCCTATGGCAAAAGAGTGATGACCCAGCAGTGAGAATGGGTAAGAATTTGAAACATGGGATTCAGATTTTTCTTTTTCTTTTCTTTTTTAAATAAAACTTAGTAAGCTATGCAACATTCTTTATGGAGGGATGGGAAAAATGTAGATTAGCAAAGAGCAACATTGGCCGATTCATCCATTTAAAAGCAATAAGTGCTTAACTCTGAAAAGTATGGATTTTGCATTCTTTTGCATTCAACCATGTTTCTGGAATTGATTTTTTTTTTCTGTTGGGTTCCTTATATGTAACAACTACATGGATGTTAGGTACAATATGACCCTTTCCATGCAAAGTAGAGCTGCACCTATTCATTTGGCCGCTATAGACGGGTAAGAATTTCATTAAATTAATTTATCAAACATATAAACATGCACAAATGTCTTCATAAAGAGGATGGTAATATATGTGAAAGTGTGAAAGAAAGTGAAACTGACAGGTTTGCCCCTTCCTATAACTGGGCTGATAATGCTTACATGTATGCTTTGTCTTGCCTGTTCTTCTATATTAGAGTTTGGGTGTTGGACACACTCTCTTGCACCTTCCCTCTTCAAGAGAAAATGATTTTAAGCAGTTCTTGGGTCTGTGTGGGGCAATCCTAACTGGACCTAATAGCAGCTGGTCATTAGGCAATACTTAGCAGGCTGTTATTCCGTCCCCTCTGGTCCCAGGGGATCATGGGTAAGGAGCAACCCTTCCAACATAGTACCCAGCCTCCTATACAGTGCATATTTGCTGTTGATAGCCATCTTCATTTCCCCAGATCGTAAGAGCTGGACACCAGTAGCAAACAAGGCTCCATATTTGTCTACAGAGAACATTCATAGAGCTTTAGACAAACGACAAGAATAATTAGGTGGGGCAAGAATGGCTAGCTGAGAAGAACCAGTTTTAGAAAACAATGTTTGGGTGGAGTAAAAAAGCTATTTCTTTTTGTGTTTTTCAGCTGAAGCACCTCCCCACAGGCCAAGTTTCTCACTGCCTCACCACAAAAGGAAGATACTTGCTATCCTTTATCTAGGGAACTTGGCAGCTGGCTCTCCTATTTGTTTCTTGCTGGAATTCCTTTCACCCACAGAACTCCTTACCAAAATAAACTGAGTATTTAATAGACTTTTCTCCTCCTGTTTCACATGCTTCATGTTTGCTATTCTGTGCCATTCAAGTAGAAGACGGCATGGGTCATGGCCCTATTGCAGGAAACTGCTTTCTGTACACAAGAAGAAACCAGTCTGGAAGAGGCTGAAATCAAGCCTTCATCAAACGCTGGCCTCCAGTCCACCGTCAAAAAAATAGTCTCAGAAGTCAGGGTTTTTGTCACAGGGATGGGGTCGGTTGGAACACTACTCCCCCTAAGTCTTAAAGGGGAGGAGGGGAAAAGGGGGTATCGATAAATTGTAATTACCATGTCCCAAAGGAAACTAAAAGGCCACCTGATACTAAGGAGTTGATCACCAATAATGTTCTTCATTTATCGTGACCATTAATCATTTATTTATGTATATATGTATTTGATTGAACTTATACTCTGTCACAGTCTGACAACTCCCCACAGCTTACGGAGACGGGAATATAACAACAGTTAAAACCTCCATGATACAATTAAAACAAATACAGATGTCATAACTCCACCAACAACAACCACAAAGACAGCAAAACAACAAATCAGAGCAATATAATTTATATATATATAAGGTGGCACAATGCTTAAATTAAGGAAAATCCCTCCAACGTGGGTGGACTTTCAACAGTTTCCTGAAAGCCTACAGGGAGGGGATGAATCTGACCTCCATCAGGAAGCCATTCCAGAGCATCATCACCCCTATAAAAAACTAGCACTGTCTACCCTCAGCCCTCCTCTCCTCCTGGGAGTGTGGGGCTACGAGCAGCTGCTCCTTCTAATGGGAGGCCAGTTCTGGCTGGAGCACCCAGACGCCAATGGCTCTCTAGGTCAATGCCAGCACTTTCAATTGTGCCTGGAAACTGGCTGGCAACTAAATCCGATGTTACACGCTCCTAAATCCGGGAGGCAGGCAAATAGATCAGGTGTCCATACACATCTAGTAAATAAATAAAATTATTTGGTTTAAACTATTAATTACATAAATCCCAGGACAAGTTTCTATCACTCAAGAAAATCTCTATGTTCACAAACATCTTAGGCTGAAAGTCTTATTTTGAATGGTGTGTAAAGCATATTATTGATTTATCTTCCCAGCAGAATACCTTTTGTGACTAGGCCAGCAGATGTTCCCAAGAATTCTAGCAAGGCAAGTGTCCATTCCTTTCTGTTTTCAGAGACTGAGCTGAAAGGAAACGGCCAGTAGTTTGTCATCATCACCATGACTCTAAGTTAGCGTTTTTCAAACTTGGCAACTTTAAGATGTATGGATTTCAATTCCCAGAATTCCCCAGCATGCTCTAATTTTAAGAAGTGTGGACTTCGATTCTAGGAGTTGAAGTCCACACTTCTTAAAATTGCCAAGTTTCAAAAACACTGCTCAAAGTGAACATAAAAGAAATAATAGCTTGAAAATATTGATCTGACAGCATTTTTTTTCATGTTAGTTTTCAGTATAGTGAAGGTTGCCACTATCCAATTTCCAATAGGTGCTTCCTTTATCTACAGGTACTCCTCGCCTAATGACCACAATAAGGACTGTAAAATTGGTCGTTAAGTGGGGCAGTTGTTAAGCGAGTCACCATGTGACTGGACCTGATTTTACGACCACATGATTTGCTTAATGACCATCATAAAAATGGTTGCAAATTGTGATCATGTGACCACGGGGGGGGTGCAACGGTTTGCAGTAGTCAAAAGTGTGAGTACAGATCATAAGTCATTTTTTCCGATACTGTCATAACTTTGAACCTTCGTTAAACAAATGGTCATTAAGTGAGGACTACTTGTATGACCAGTTGGGAAACAACTGCCTAAAAAAGTGCTGTTTTGACTTCATAAGAGTACTGAATTTGACTTTGTCTCACCAGGCCTTTTGTTCCCTTACCTTCAGAATTGTGAATCATATTTTCTCTCTGCTTCTCCAAGACTTGGGTTCTTAACTAGTTAGTAGCAGTAGCAGGGCTCCTAGATCTGGGCTAATTCTCTTTGCTACCATTTAGCAGTCATCTGCATTTCAGTAGTCCTAAACTGTAACAAGAGAGCCAGTTTGGTGTAGTGGTTTAAGGCATCAGGCTAGAAAACGGGAGACCCTGAGTTCTAGTCCTGCCTTGGGCACAAAGCCAGCTGGGTGACCTTGGGCCAGTCACTCTCTCTCAGCCCCAGGAAGGAGGCAAGGGCAAACCACTTCTGAAAACTGCAGGGATAGTCCAGGCAGACGCCGGGAGTGAACACTGACCTGAAAGCACTAATACATAAATAAAACATTGCATATAGTGGGGGAAATAAACTATAAAAAGACAGAAGCTTTCCACCACTTCATAATCTTCCCTGCCAGTTCTAAGGCTGGTTCCTGTACTTGTTGTCATTAGTTTGGAGATATATATATATATATATATATATA